GTAAGAAGGGTATCATACAGTCGGTCATGTTTGACTTTTGAACTTTCTTACTGATTTCTAAATGTATATATGTATGTGTGTAAGGGTAAATTCTTTCCGTCCAAACAGACCAACACATAATTTCATCGCCTATGAATGGGCCAACGAACGCATCTGTCTTCATCGACGTGTGAATGTTATGTTGGCGCGTGTTCCTTAAAGGTAGGCACGTTTTCCTTTCTCTAACATATTCAAACACACACACACATATATGCCAACAATACATAGTTATGACAGTCAGACGTTTTTATAGTACTCCACCTCCTCCATGCAAAAGAACAAAACTTTTCACTCTTGATTTTCTTCATTCGAACACGGGAGAGGGTGTTACCCCATCATCAACAGCATCAGGAAAATTAATTACCGACATGCAAGACGTGTCTATAATGTATTATTTTGTCATAATATTCAGGAGCAAAGACATCAAGTGGCAATCGAGAAGCCGGAAGTTTTCTTACCATGCCATAAAAAACCCTCCAAGAAAAAGAAGGCATCCAAGAAAAGTTTGTCATACACAAGGGAATTTGCTGGATAGGAAGAAGAAGAAGAAGTAAAAAACAAACTATGTTTTAGTGCGTGAGTTTGCATTAGTGGCGGGTTGGCTGCTTGGTCCTGTATGTGTATTTATGGAGGGTAAATAAATACACATACAGGACCAAGCAGCCAACCCGCCACCTAGCCAAAATGACGAATCCAGAACACATATAACTGTACGTGTTTGTAAGTGTGTTACATATGTGTTGGCATTAGCATTAATGCGGTTCACACGCCTAATATGTTTATGACTTTAGTCAAGTCATTGAAATTAAGTGGAAATGCTGGAGAAATTCCAAAAAAACTGAATATGTACGGAATATAATTAGTTACTTCTATTTTTACCTCGGTACCATCATAATCTACAAAATCTCCAGGCGTAATGATTTAATTTCAACAATATGTAAAGTTATGAATCATAATGACTAACCTCGTTTTATGATTCCAGCCAAATGTGGTTTAATTATGGCCTGCTTCGTTGTGTGAAGTTTCACATTTTAAACAACTACCCTTGTACCCGAACGTGTGCTTTAAGACCGGGGAAATTATGTCTTCATTCAATTGGCATGTAACAAGCAAATGAAAGGGAAATATTGTTGTCATTACATTTTATGATTTAATTAGAGTTATTATCCACGTTATTTTTTGACGTATCTCTGACTATCCATGTATTCTTGTGAGTTATATCCATAAATCATCCAGAATCATATCATAAGGGGAATATAACTTCCAATCATACGCAGTCTATGATTCGCATTCATTAAGGGAACCCCACCCATTCTCGATTTTAATTTTTCAAGATTTTCAATGGGCTGGTAAATCAATACCAATGCTTGTTAAGGTTTGTTACTTTGCACATATATATTTGAAGATTTAAAAAAGAAGAAAAATAATTTACAAAAATTTTTTGTTGTTTTTTTGTTGTTGTTTTTTGTGATCAAAGAAAAGTCCTTATTTTTGATGGCGGGCATGATAACTCCTCACTGGAACATCGGAATCCGAAAATTCCAACGGTGTTAAAAAGAGTACATATCTGGCTCTCGTATGAACTAGGATTATTGACTTCGCTCTAAAATTAACAAAATGGCAGACCTTTGAAAAAATATTTTTGGAAAATCGCTGATTTTTGACCAAAAACCAATTTAAAAAATAAGGAATATCTTCACCGATTGGCTTTATCCTAGTTCATACGATAGCTATACACTCACAGAGAAACGTGTAAAAATTTGAAATCGATTGGGTTATTAGTTTTTGAGTTATCGTGCCCGCCATTCGCAAAAAAATGTTTAGAGAAAAACGCGTTTAATGTTTGAGAAGCCCTTCAGCCGTCACTTGATGCTGACACAATAAATCGGCAATATCTTCAAGAGTTCTTGAGATTTTTACTTGAAATTTTGTAGGGACATTCTTGAATTAGTGTAGATTGGAATTAAGTCCACAAAAAATTTGACCCCGAGAATGGGGGGTCCCCTTAACGGAAAATTCCAAAATATGTCGTGTTACTACCAGGGCTAACGAAAATCGTGACCGATTGAGACAAAATTTTGAGTATAGAATGTTGTGTGTTAAGTTTAGTTGAAATCAGTACAGATTTACCTTAAATCGGACGAAAATATATATGGGAGCTATATCTAAATCTGAACCGATTTTTCCCAATTTCAATAGGGTTTGTCCTTGGGCCAAATGAATGAGCTCTGCCAAATTTCATACAATTCGAATAATAAATGCGACCTGTACTTTGGAACCATGTGTCTATCTCGTTTCCTTTTGCCTTTTACAAGAAGGGTATAATTAATTAACGGACACATAATATAGTTATATTACCTTCTCTTAAAAATCCCACAATTGATTAAGCTAGTTCTAAATGGGATATTTTCATCCGATTTCTTCAGATTCCATTACAATGGTCTTCCAAGGATACTTTGTATGTTCTATCTATCGTATATTGTACATATGAGCATCTCTTGTATGCACCCAAAGTGGTGAAGGGTATCATAGAGTCCAACCCATTCGGCATTTGAACTTTCCATAGTGCTTTATTATAAGTTTTGGCCGCTGACATTATGTATGAAACACTATATAATTTAAAAGACCTCCATGCGAACTGTTGCAAGCATTGTTCCTTTTGAGGTAATTTTCGACAACTTTTTGACCCATATTGGGCGGTATCTCAACCATTACTTGACGAATGTTGGATTTCGTGTGCTCAAGGTTTATCTGCATAAACATGGTCTTTCGCATTGCTCCATAAAAAGGCTTATGGTGTTAAATCGGATGTTCTTGATTGACAGTTGATATTGCCACAACTATAAATTACGCGGTCGGGATATGTTTCTTCGCTCGAGTTGTGTGGCACCGTCTTCTTGAAATCACATATTCTTCATGTCGTACTCTTCTATAGCAAGCAAAGAATTAGCTTATCATATAACGATAACTCTCCGAGATGACAGTGCCTTCGGTGTTCTCTAAGACGTAAGGACCAATCACATTTTCGGACCAAATAGTGCACCAAACAGCAACTAATTGTAATGACCTCTCTTCAAATACTTGAGAATTCTCAGAACCCCGAAGCAGCAATACGAGCGAAACGATGATGCACAGGCCTCACAGCATTTGTAATCGATATAGTCTATTCAAATTTATTCTCAATTTTGCCCATTCCTTACGATTATGTAAACCACAATCTCCTCTTAAAGCACGATATGTGGCTGTGCAATTTTAATCAGTGTCTGAATTTAAACTTGAATGGAAAAAATGGTTTAACAACTTATTTTGACAGATGCCGAATTCCAGTCTCACGATATGGATAACCATTTAAATTGGGTTCAAATGAAATTGTAAACATATATGTTGTGTATAGAATAGTCATAGTCATATGCGTATATCTTCTGTTCGTTGCAATCATGATAGATATTGCAATAAAGATTTGAAATGTGATACATCATTCCATGTTGTTTTAGCTCCCCATAAAGTCGTGCCCGTTTTTCCAGGTCATTAAAGTTTTAGGGTCTGTTATAAACCGAAGGGGTTTTAATTATATATTAAGAATATTGAAGGGTATTATTATTTTCCAAATCATATGACTATAAGTAATTATTTGTGATAAAATAAATACAGGTACTATATAAAGGTTTCGCTCCATTCTGGATATTTAGAAGGCATTTTCCAATCTACGGACTAATAAATCATCAAATGTCCACTGATGGCATTGAAATCCCAACTCCATGCTCCAATTGAAGCAATTATTGTTTAGACCGATTTATTAGGAGATAAGAAAATTGCGGTGCTAAAACAGACGTATATAAGATCGTCATAGAATATATGCAATATTAGCCGGCAATAAAACAGCAATCAAATGAGTGGATATGCGAAGACGACCCAAATTTAACGAAAGTTTTTACCAGAAACTGTGTGTCACTGTCTACTGTCGAGGTAAAGCAATGTGTTGTATTAAATTAATAATTTACAAGTCTCCTTCTGCTTAGTAAGAAATATACAAATCTATGAAATGATGATACTATATGGGTAATGCACCAGAGGGAGTGGACCGATGAGGTCTATATTAGGATTTGATTTAGATTTCAAAGTTCAAAATTTGGATCATATTAGATACTTCATTCGCTTGATACCATTCTTCGGATTTTATCGAGATTTGACAATAAGTGTATGATGTGTAATATTTGGATGAAATTGGCTATTCTTTTTGCTTCATACAAGATTAAAAAAAATTGTAATCCTTTGTGAGGGAGTTACTAGAATGAATAAAACAGGCTTAGTTAAAATATAAGATTGGATTTAAACTTAATATTTTGATTAAACACATTTTTGCCGATGTAAAGTGTATGTGTCCTTATGGCTGGGTTAAGGGTGTAACAATAGTGGTTTTAGGCACCACGACTGGTTAAGGAATGAAATGCGAATATTAAAATTTTGAAAACGAAACCCAAGTTACCATAACCGCCATATTATTGGTATTAATTACATAACCCACTCATCTCTATACTAGCTCCCAGTTAGCAAGACCCTAGCTCGATTTGTCTAGTTAAATTGGTATTAATTAAAAGATTACTTCAATTATTAGAACGAATTTTAAACCTCTACAGTTCATCATTTGCGATCATTTGTTGAGTCAGGCCGTATCCCAATTTGTAATTCTACCGAAACAATGACTATGAAAAATGTCAAATGTTTTAAAATATACGATTTTTAATTAGTGATATTAAATTCCTCCCACAATTTATTTTTAACAACTTCTTTACAAATGACAGTGCATTAGTGCCATAATTAGTTCCGTACACTTTATTATTTATTTTATATGAATAGTTTTATTTTCTTTATATTAGTTGTGAATTTAATATAAGAGACCGCAATGTAGACGATTTATTTATTATATGTATTATGAATAAATTTTTTGCATGCTCGCATATTTATGTCTGCATTAAAACGCTCCGCATTTTGTAGTTAACTTTCAGTCGATAAGTGCAATAGTAAATAAATTCCACAACTGATATCATACTCAAGCCCAGGCATAAATTAAAGACACCACCCAGATCAGCTAGAAACAAATATTTCTCTAATAAACAAAAGTTCTTAGTTTATTTGTGACTTATATACTTACACAATAGACCAATCCATGACATCACTGTCACTTTGTGTATAGAGGGCACAACCTGACGTGATAGGAAAATGTGCACAATAAACATATCCGTTGAATAGTCCAAATTTTTGCTAGAAGCAAAAAAAAAAAAACAAAAACAGTGAGCGGAGCAGTATAGTCGTTCGGGGCCGACCATATGATACCCTACACAACTTCAACGAAAATCTAACTTCCTGTGGTCCTATATTCTGAGCATGGAAAATATTCACCGTGGTTTGTGTTGTTTGGCTTGTAGCCTATAGATCGATTCGAAAAAAAACACAAAAAATTATGTTTTCGGTCCATTTCATCCCAATATTGTTATCTCTTCATCACCGAAAATTATATACCTGGAACCTCATGGAACATTTCGAAGCGATCAGCGCAATATTTCCCCCCTATATTGTGGTAATGGTTTACTAAATAATATATGAATATGTAAGCATCGGTAAATATTTAAGTGTATCTCCCACATCCGAATACATACGACAATATAATTGGTATCAATTTAAGGGAACCCCCCATTCTCGATTTTAATTTTTCAAGATTTTCAAAGGACTGGTAAATGAATACAAATGCTTGTTAAGGTTTGTAACTTTGCACATATATAATAGAAGATTTAAAAGAGAAGAAAAATAATTTACAACAAATTTTTGTTATTGTTTTGTTGTTGTTTTTTGTAATTAAAAAAGTCCTTACTTTTGATGGCGGGCATGATAACTCCTCACTGGAACATCGGAATCCGAAAATTCCAACGGTGTTAGAAAGAGTACATATCTGGCTCTCGTATGAACTAGGATTATTTACTTCGCTCTAAAATTAACAAAATGGTGGACCTTTGAAAAAATATTTTTGGAAAATCGCCGATTTTGTAACAAAAACCAATTTAAAAAATAAGGAAGATCTTCACCGATTGGCTTTATCCTAGTTCATACGAGAGCTATACACTCCCAGAGAAACGTTGCAAAATTTGGAACCGATTGGATTATTAGTTTTTGAGTTATCTTGCCCACCATTCGCAAAAAAAAGTTTAGAGAAAACGCGTTTAAAGTTTGAGAAGCCCTTCAGCCGTCACTTGATGCTGACACAATAAACTGAATATATCTTCAAGAGTTTTTGAGATTTTCACTTGAAATTTTGTAGGGACATTCTTTAATCAGTGTAGGTTCGAATTATATCAACAAAAATTTTGACCCCGAGAATGGGGGGGTCCCCTTAAAGGTCAACCATTCCTCTTGGATATACTAAAAACTTTTCGGGTCTATGGCCTTCAGGGGTAAATATATGCGTTATAGAATACAAATTTTGTGATTTTTCACACAAAATCGGGGTTCATTTGACCGATTATTATTAAAAACAGGCATGCTTATTCTTTGGCCCGATCCCCTTCTCCGTGTAAAAATTGGCGATGTTTGGGCCATAATTGAGGCCTCTGGAGCGACCAGAAAATCAGACAAAAATAAAGTTTTTGGTCCATTTCATCCTCTAAATATTATTCGACCTTTACCAAAAACAATAGGGGTCTTCATTGGGCCGAATCCATCCTACATGCAAAATTTCGTGAAGATTGGTCCATAACTGTGGCCTGTATCGTATTTACAAATTATAATGGACAGACGGACGGACGGACGGACGGACACACATGTCTAGATCGACGCAGCTACTCGAGATATAACGATCGGTATACTTAAAGGTGTGTCTAGAGCCAATATTTCGCGGCGTTACAAACTCTTAGGGCTGTACAAAGCTGTAGGACCCTGACAACATAGTTGTGTAGGGTATAAATATTGTACCCAAAAAGTTCATATTGCCCAATATACTTACTGAAAATGATTCACAGAGTAGTTGTGTAGTAATATATCCGTTTTGTAAGCCAAAGTATTGTAGGTAACATCATGACAATTGGGTAAGCAATTTTCACAGCGAACGCTTTTGAAATTATCTGAAAAATAATATACATATTACGTATCAATCTAATGCACATGTCTTCATATAGACATATTGGTCTGTGTAGAGACTACGACGGAATTGGTCTGTAGGAGACCACTAGTATTTACATAGACCAATAGATATGTATGAATGCCACAGGTCAATTGGTCTGTATGGACATCACAGGTCTTTATAAAGAACAATTGGTCCGTATGGAAACCTCAGGCCTTTTCACTGCCCAATTGGTCCGTATGGTCTTTGTAAAGACCAATTTGTCTGTATAGAAACCACAGAGTCTTCCAAAATAATTCACCTTTGATTTTTGACTTACCAAAATTCCTAGAATAACACTCCGAATCATTTAGCATACACATTCGCTTATCCGTGGCAAACTTTGGCAAATGATATGGATTACATTGGCATTTCTGTAGAATCGTTTCACTTTCACATTTCAGAATGCAAGCTGCTTGGCGATAAATATTTCCCAACATTTCATCCGATGTCAAACAATCACGTTTTTTAGCTGGCAATTCTATGACCTCCGTTGAAGCCGCTTGTACAGTGGGTGAAATTTCAATGAAACTTTCTGAATTTGTTGTAATGGTAACCGATGAAGCAGCCTCTGTGGCAAAATCCATTGGATGATGTACCAATACTATTAGACCCGTTGAGGTATCTGTTTCCGAACCCTCAACACCAATAAAACTTAAACCACCATCGATACCAAAGGTGTTTGAAGAAAATGGTACATATGATTCATTTTGTGGATGGAAATTAAATGAACAGCATGGACCCAGATAGGATGTGGTCGGAGAAAATGATAGATATTCGTGATTTTGCCGGCATTCAAATTCTTCATTGCCCCAGAAGCAACGTCGTACGAAATCATCACAACCCGCACTGACGGCCACAGCTGCTTCGTATGTGGTGATATTGTTGAGCAGAAGTATTTGATAGGTCTCATTAAAAGACGAGCTATTTGTCGGCAACCAGGTTTGATCGGTAAAGGCATTGAGATAATCAAAACCTTCAGCGATTTTCTTTACGTCATATCCAGGAGGGATGTTGCTAAAAAACAATAAAATTTTAAAAGACCAATATACGATATAAAAGTATGTACATCCTACAGCTTGTTAATAAAACGCTTAACCCGATCCACATTTATGACCTTGGGACTGCACACGGTAACACCTGGGAACGGGACATCAGTTATGGACACATCATTGGCAATGGTATTTAAAATTGGATACGAATAGAATTTCAACCATAGCTGCAGGGAGAGGAAAACAGCCAAGCTGAACAAACTCAGCAGAACCGAGGACCAAATACATCTGCAAAAAATACACCACTTTAAGTCTCCCTTTTGAAATTCACAATAAAAGACTTCCTTTACTTACTTAGTAACTCGATGGGTTTTTGATGGCCTCAATAGCCAAATGCCGCTCACCTTAGTACGCATGGCATATTCCAGAAAAGTATCAGCCATGGCCAAACGAAAACGTTTCCAGAACACTAAAAACTCTGATTTATTGCGAATAAAGCGTAGCTTCATTTTTCTTTAGAACCTCTTCAAACTACTGCTACTGGTTAAATGAATCTTAAAAAGTGCTTATCCTCTAGGTAAATAAGTCCCCTCTTGATGTCATTATAGGCGATGATGCATCGATAACCCCCAAACACCCTCTGCACAAATTAATTAACTTGTAATTCATTTGTGTGGTTAATCACTTCTACTTTTCCCCACAAAATGAATAGGAGCCGCTCCATCTCTACTGTCATAAAATTCATAATTACTATTTATGAATTTCATTTTGGGGTTGATTGATAATTAATACATGGCTATTAAGTGACTTTATTCATTATCTATGTCTATGTTCTTAATATTAATGAAGACATATCCATTCATTAAGTCTACAGATACTAGTACAGTCATTCGATGTTTGTAAAATTATTTGAAAATGTATTTGCTCGAGGGATTTCAAAAGCATTATTCATATTGAGTTCAAGGTTATGATTTACAAAGATGTATTTGAATAAATAGGCATAAATATTGGCTGTGATATAGACCATGCGATAAATTAATTTCTTAGCGATATTATGATTAATAAGCATATTAATCGATTTCGAAAACGGTTTAATTCAAATAAATAGGACAAATCTATTGCTACACTGACCAAATGCTACCACAATATTCATTGCCTTAATTCGTAATAATCAAGGGGCTAATGATTTGGTGGTATTCAATTTAATATGCAAGAAATTAATCGGAACGTTTATTCGTTGTAAAAATATGGGCCTATTCTGATGAGAAGTTTTTTACTTCACCAGGAATACAGATTTTTAAATTACAACTGGCTTGTACAAAACTTCCTTATAATTAGTAAGGAAAGTTGTTCTTCAAGTCGGTCGGGACATTTACATGGGGACTGTTTGAGATTTGCAACCCAACCTTGTAATTTGTTTGATATACCAATACTACTTTTGACTTTGCCACACCAACCAAGGATTCTCTTAGAGTTTGCAATATCACATCGGTATTTATACCCTACACAACTATGATGTCAGTGTATTATAGCTTTGTGAAGCCCCAAGAGTTTGTAACGCCGCGAAATATTGGTCCTAGATCCATAGTTTAGTATACATATCTCGACTAGCTGAGTCGATCTAGACATGTGTGTCCGTCCGTCTGTCCATTATAATTTCTAAACACGATACAGGCCACAGTTATGGATCAATCTTCACGAAATTTTACATATAGAATGGGTTCTGGTCAATGAATACACCTATTGTTATACCCTTCACCACACTGTGGTACAGGGTATTATGTCTTTGTGCATATGTTTGTAACAGGCAAAACTAATCGAGATAGACACATGGTTCCTTTTGAGAATATGCATAAAATCACTTTCTGAGTCGATTTATGCATGTCCGTCTGTCCGCCCATCTTTCCGTCCATGTATTTTTGTGAACAAAGTACAGGTCGCATTTATGATCCGATTTGGATGAAATTTGGCATATGCCACTTATTTGGCCCAAGGACGAACCCTATTGAAATTGGAGAAAATCGCTTCAGATTTAGATATAGCCCCCATATATAGTTTCGTCCGATTTAATGTAAATGGTGTACCAAAGTCCCTATATATCTTTCGATTTGCACGTAATTTGGGATAGCCTACTGAATTAGGTCTAGAATGATGTGTGCTAAGTTTCGTGAAAATCGGTTCAGATTTAGATATAGCTCCCATATAGTTTGGCCCGATTTTAGATAATCGGTGCACTAAAGTCCTGAAAATCATTTGATTTGCACGAATTTTGACATAGTGTATTGAATTAAGTCTAGAATGACGTGTGCTAAGTTTCGTGAAAATCGGTTCAGATTTAGATATAGCTGCAATATATAGTTTCGCCGGATTTACGGTAAATGGTGTACCAAATCAAAGTCCCTATATATCTTTCGATTTGCTCGAAATTTGGTATAGCCTACTAAATTAGGTCTAGAATGATGTGTTATAAGTTTCGTGAAAATCGGTTCAGATTTAGATATAGCTCCCATATATAGTTTAGCCCGACTTTATGTAAATGGTGTACCAAACTCCCTATATATCTTTCGATTTTCACGATAAATGGTGCACCAAAGTCCCTGAAAATCATTTGATTTGCACGAATTTTGGTATAGCGTATTGAATTAAGTCTAGAATGACGTGTGCTAAGTTTCATGAAAATCGGTTCAGATTTAGATATAGCTCCCATATATAGTTTCGCCCGATTTTAGGTAAATGGTGTACCAAACTCCCTATATATCTTTCGATTTTCACGATAAATGGTGCACCAAAGTCCCTGAAAATCATTTGATTTGCACGAATTTTGGTATAGCCTATCAAATTATTTCTAGAATGATGTGTGCTAAGTTTCGTGAAAATCGGTTCAGATTTAGATATAGCTCCCAAATAGTTTGGCCCGATTTTAGATAAATGGCGCACTAAAGTCCCTGAAAGTCATTTGATTTGCACGAATTGTGGCATATCGTATTGAAAATCATTTGATTAGCTGCAGGAATTTTGACAAAGTGTAATCTTTTTTATTGACATGAAATTTGTATAGCGTACTAAATTAAGTCTAGAATGACGTGTGCTAAGTTTCGTGAAAATCGGTTCAGATTTAGATATAGCTGCAATATATAGTTTCGTCTAATTTAAGGTAAATGGTGTAGCAAATTAAAGATTTTAGGTAAATGTTGTATCAAAGTCCCTATATATCTTTCGATTTTCACGAAATTCGGCATAGTACTCTGTGCCGAGTCTAGAATGATGTAAATGTGTAAATTTTTATGAAAATCGGTTCAGATTTAAATATAGCTCCCATATAGTTTGGATCGATTTTAGATAAATGGTGCACTAAAGTCCCTGAAAATCATTTGATTTGCACGAATTGTGGCATAGCGTATTGAATTAAGTCTAGAATGACGTGTGCTAAGTTTCGTGAATATCGATTCAGATCTAGATGTAGCTCCCATATATAGTTTCGTCCGATTTAATGTAAATGGTGTACCAAAGTCCCTATATATCTTTCGATTTGCACGACATTTGAAATAGCCTACTGAATTAGGTCTAGAATGATGTTTTATAAGTTTCGTGAAAATCGGTTCAGATTTAGATATAGCTCCCATATATAGTTTCGCCCGATTTTAGGTAAATGGTGTACCAAACTTCCTATATATCTTTCGATTTTCACGAAATTTGGTATAGCCTTTTAAATTAGTCCTAGAATGATGTGTGCTAAGTTTCGTGAAAATCGGTTCAGATTTAGATATAGCTCCCATATAGTTTGGCCCGATTTTAGATAAATGGTGCACTAAAGTCCCTGAAAATCATTTGATTTGCACAAATTGTGACATAGCGTATTGAATTAAGTCTAGAATGTCGTAAATATAGCTTTCATATATAGTATCGCCGGATTTTAGGTAAATGGTGCACCAATGTCCCTGCTAATCTTTTTTATTGACATGAAATTTGTATAGCGTACTAAATTTAGTCTAGAATGATGTGTGCTAAGTTTCGTGAACATCGGTTCAGATTTAGATATAGCTTCCATACATAGTTTCGTCCGATTTTATGTAAATTGTGCACTAAAGTTCCATAGTTAGGCCGATTGACACAAAGTACTGAAGATATAATATAAATTAATCTCTGGCAAGTTTGCTTCAAATCGGTTCAGATATACATAGATATATCGTAGCTTCCATATTTAATTTCGACTTCTTTATGTTAATTGTACACCAAATAATCAATAGGTCTGATTGAGATTAAATTTTAAACAGTACAGCATACCGAATAGCGTGTGTCATGTTTGCTTTAAATCAATTTACACAAATCTATCCCAGAGTGCGCAAACGACTTTAAACTTGCCCAAATGAAATGAAATTTAGTATAGTTTCCAGAAAGACATAAAAATCACATATTTATGTTCGTTCAATTTCATGTCAAAATTCCTTCAAAAAGGCGACGTCTTTTCGAATATATCCAAAGTGGTGAAGGGTATCATATAGTCGGTCCAGTCCGACTATACTACATTCTTTACTGGTATTTGGTAAAGATCAGTTAAAATTTAGGGGATGAAATGGACAAAAAACTTTATTTTTGTCTGATTTTCTGGTTGCTCCAGGCGCCGCAATTATGTTTCAAACATCGCAAAATTACATGGAGAAGGGTATCGAGCCAAAGAATAAGCTTGCCTGTTTTGATAAAGATCGGTTAATATTTAGCGGGTCAAATGAACACAGACTTTTGTGGGAAAAATTACAAAATTTGTATTCTATAGCGTATAGATTTACCTCTGAAGGACATAGACCCGAGAAGTTGATAGTATATCCAAGATGAGTGGTTGACCTTTAAACTGATACCAATAATATAGTTGTATGTACTCGGATGTGGGAGTTACACTTAAATATTTACAGGTACTTACGTATACATATATTATTTAGTAACCCATTATCACACTAGAGGGCGAAAATATAGCGTTGATCGCTTTGAAATTTTCCATGAGGATCCAGGTATGGTCAAGGACAACGCCTACAATCTTCCGTGATGATTAGATAACAATATTGGTATGAAGTGGACCGAAAATTAATTATTTTGTGTTTTTTCGAGTCGAGTCAATTATAAGCCGAACATCACAACACAACCCACGGAGAGGGGAATCTGGACAAGTAATTAAAAGGGCTGTACTGAATATTAATAATATTTGGAAAATATGTCAGTGTAATGAAGCACCTCTGCCTCTAATCGGCAAGAGGGTGCAAATATCACGAAATATTGTCCAGGCTCGAAATAAACATCCGCATAAAGTTAGTGTTCCGTGGTAGTTGTGTAGGGTATCGAATGGTCGGCCCATTCAACTATACTGCTCCGTTCACTGATTTTCAAATAGGCCGTTGCAAATAGGCCATTCGTTGTTGTAATGACTTTTGTATTACCCCTTCTTTCCAAATGCATCAATGTGATATGATTCATTCCACACTTCTGGCATTATCTTTCGTTATAACATTTTTTATCT